GATCCCAGATCTAGGGTTGGCACCAGCGCCGGCGCCGCCGAAGCAACGGAGACCGCACCCGAGGACGAGCCAGCACGGGAACCCGCCGGAGAGCACGAAGCCGACGCCGGCGCAGCCCCAACCACCCCAACGGACGGCAGCGGGGCCGCAGACGGGGACCAGCACGATGCACGCCGACGCCCACGCGAGACGCGGCGCCACCCATCCGCCTCCACGGCAGGCCAGACAGGCCGCCCCCGTCCCCCGGGCGCAAACTTGCGCTGGCGAACTACCGCCGCAACCCCAGGGGAGGGGCACGCCGGGACCGGGCGGGGAGGGGGAGAAGGAGCCTCAGATTCCGACCCGGAGCCATCCGAGTCGAGCGCCCAAAACTTATTAGCCCGGAGAGGGGCGATGTGGACAGAGCGGGGAGGAGAGGCCAGAGAGCAGAGGGGGGCTGCGCGCGACGCCGGAGAGGAGCTCGGGGGAGTACGCGGAGGGGAGGGGGAAGAGGAGGTCGCACGTGGCAGGGACGCCGCCGGGACTGAGCCAGAACCAGGCGTCGCCGCGAGGGGGAGGGGGGAGAGGAGAGCCATCGCTTCACTGAAATATAAACCCGGACCCACTTTTTCAGTAGTTTAGTTGGTTACAAGGAGTATTAGATAGCCTTGCAAGTCTTGAATTTACGATTGATTGTACTCCCTCCGTCCCAAAATTCTTGTCTTAGTTTTGTCTAAATGCGGATGTATTAGTTATATTTTAGTGTTATATACATCCGTATCTAGACAAATTTAAGACAAGAATTTTGGGACGGAGGGAGTACGATTCTACAAGGGCTATTTCTATGAGTTGAGCCTGCGGAAACGAACACACAGGCACATGCTTGCGCTGCTCGATAATGTGACGTGGCTTCGCCTTGGCAAGGTGAGACCTTGGGCAAAGGCTAAAGCCGCTCGACCCCAGATCTTGATCCCTCGGCAGATCAAGAATGGACTGCAGGGTGAAAACCACGATGTGTTTCAACAAAGCATTGCAGCCTTTTCGTTCCAGATGCAGTGGTGCATCATCTCCGATGCAAGCAAAGCTGTGACATGCCTCTCCTTGGCGGCATGGTCAACAAAGCTCATGATAAACACATTGTTCCAAACGACTCGGCTAAGTACGGCGCAACCAGTGGGGTAATCCATACAGTCTTGAAGAATGCACTTTAGACACGTCTAGACTGTGATGCTTCTGTCCTAATGGCTCCTATTCCTACACTTTGACATCAACCATTTCGATTTTCAAAACTATCACATATAATGTGTTTACATTATATAACAATATACTGGCCACGGTATATACTAAAGAGTTATTAAACAATGAATGTGAAAGCCTGAAAGGGAAGTGGCGAATTGTGTGTGCGAATGCACTAGCATGTCGATGTGAAGATGGAAGTGGTTGTATATGTAGGAGGAGAAGAGAAATCATTTTATACACATTTAAAGAAGGCTGGTGGACTATTTATTTGCACCAATTTCACCTTATAACACTTGTGCTCTATTCCGACTTACTAAAACTATGTTTTCCCCTTCTGATTCAACAACGATTCTATATCTCTTTTTAGACAAAAGGCACATATGCTAATACTTTATGTAAGGCCCCAAAAAGAACTGGTGAATGGTTTTACACACACTAAGCACACGTTGAGAGAGAGAAAGAGTGTCTCAGTTGGTTGCTTTGTATACAAAGCGGGGGGAAACCCTTTTTCGGTAAGAGAGAGATCTAAGCACATTGAGCAACCTGATCACCCACATTTTTATCTCCAATGAAGTCTTGTCCTCCCTCTTCACTGATTGGACCAAAGCTGCTTAGTGTTCGTTGGTTGTGGTCAGTCTTGCACCAACCTCAAGAAGCTCAACATAAAATCCATTGTCAGTACCCTCCTGGAGTGAATGCTGGGTGTTGCACTCCAATATTTATTTCCGAAATAACGCCTTTTATCTTTTTAAATCCCCCATTACTTTGTCCTTGTCGCCAATAATTATGTGTAATTCATGGTTTGCTACTTATGTAAGGGCCGGAACAAGAAATTTCTGTGTTACTCCTAAGAATTTTCCATGTGTGTTCATTTGACTCTTGTTTACTTGCTAGTTAAGATTACATGCAATTATTATATACTCGATCTTTGGAGCAAGAATATGGTACAACTTTCAGTGAAGCTCAGAGTGACAGATGCATGTAGTTCAGTTCTTTCTTTTGAATGTGAAGTGCTAGTAAAATTATTTTCATCTTTTGTAATATCATTTATGATACTCTTTACCCCAAAAGGGTTTTCTCCCGCTTTATATTATAAAGCAACGATCATCACATACATCTGAGTGAGCCGGACAAACACACGCCACCACAACACACAACGAACACACCCAAGGCTAGATACAAAGGTGCCAAGCACCATCACACCACTCGGACACAACCAAGCAAATAAAATATGAGCTACGAAGAACCACTTGGAGCCACTGAGGGGGGGAGACGGACAATGACAAAGCAAGGACTCCAAGACGGTACCTCCCAGAAGGGTACGGCCACGGATAGCCGCCACCGTCCGATCCGCAGATCAAGTTTTCACCCGGAGCGACGTAGGGGGGTGGGAGTACCGCGACGGAGCCTTCAAGAAGAATACGACATCCACGGACGCCGCCACCGACGGCTAGAAAAGGACTGGGCAAGTGATGAACCCCGGCCCGCCGACACACCCCTGCACTGCCAACCACCCGCAGTCACATCCCCTGCGAAACCATGGTTGCCCGCTCGCACCTGAGACGCAGGTTCTGCCCGGCAACGCCACGCCTCCCGCCGCCAGGGCCGTCGCCCAACATCCAGACACCCCCAAGACCATTCAAAGAGATCAACTTTGCACCAAAGGAACACCAACGACCGACGAACCGCAGCATACGTCCTGCCTTGAACATCGTCGGAGCTGCGACAGCCAGCACGCGGCCCGGGAAAGGGGGAGGTGGGGGAGCGGACGCATCCGGACCGGCACACCCATGTGCCAGTGACGGGGCCCGAGCAGGTCGGCACCACCTATCCCTCCAGCCAGCCTCCGCACCGGACACACCCCTTCTGATGCTCTTTTGAGCATGAACTATGAATCATCTCTCTTTCTCTATGGCAATTACAAGCATTGCTTAAGATTTTTTTCTTCACTTTATCCTTTCGTACAATACAGTGAAAAGAGAGAGAATCGACTGTAATGACACCTACTGAAACTTGTTAAGTGTCAATTCCATTCATGAAACAGATGATATTCGGAACAATTTCCGTACTTTGTCGCTTCAGTTGTAAAATCAAGATATATAGAAGAAACTGTCACAAGACATGAAACTGTAACAAAATGAGCTCCAGAAACAAGAGAAAGGAGATATACTGGTAAAGGCATGAGAATTTCAGAATGTTTTGAGGAGACAGCAAGCTTACAACCATAAACTTTTGGAGCAGAGCAGTCTAAAAAGCACCCTCCACTAATTACTTCAAATTATAAGCACATGAAAAAGAAGTAGGGGATTCAGTCTCGATAGACACCTTTTCCATAGTTCAATTACACCTCCAGAATAACATTAGAATGCTAGGTTCCGATGGCTATATATTGTGCTATCAATGAACTGAGCATCCTCGTAATAAGCCATCTCACACCGGATAAATTGTTCAGATGCACACATTTGGTAGCCTCATCTAGACTTCTGCAATATTATCCAGACATCAACATTTTCTAATTTTAGCATAGCTGAGTAACATTATTTTCACGCATCACAGGTTGCTCAATTTTATGATAATCACAGTTTTTTATCAAGTATAGCAATAGGTGTTTTTATCTCTAAATATCTGTGAGTATCACAGAGCAAGAACTTCGAGCCTTTGTAGCAAAACAGTATGTAAGGGCAAGAACTGTACCAAATGAGAGCTGTCCTTTTGTGAGATCTGTTTCCGAACCTGTGATGTACAGAGAGCATCCGTCACCAGGAAACTTAGTAAAACTCAATTGGCAATCAATGTCAACAAAGGTAACAAATTAGCTTTTTATGTTGTCAAGCTAATTTTGTCTGACATAAAAAAACACATTCGGTTAAAATGTAAACACCAAAAAAAAAATTCAGTTCTATCACATCGGCTATTCTATTCAGGCGACACTCTAATAATTTGCAATTACTTAGTGTACTTTGATGCTGACATGCAACATTTACCAAAAACTAAACTGAAGTACCAATCTGAATTACCATTTAGATTCTTACTTAGCAAAATAGTTTAACTATGAAGACAATGCATAAAAATAACACATGAAACAGTAAAAAGGTTTTGCTGCAACAATAACTGAAATAATGCAGTAATGTTCTCCATCCAATATGACGCCAGAAACATAAATTGCAGATAAAGGTTAACACTCTTGCCCAACATTGATTCTTCCATTTTTACAACAGACACTGAGAAATGTTGCATAATTAAACTAGGCCTCATACCAACCGATACCATAAGCATTAGATATTCTGAAAGCTTCTTACATCTTGACAACTAAGCAATATCCACCGGTAACTTAAGTAAATGTAATAGCATCAGGCCTCTCACCCGTGCGTATAACCAAGTCAAAGGTAATGTGTCCTTCCATTACCATTCCACAGCCTATGACCAATATTCTTGTTCTTCATTTCGGAAACCAATTATTTGGAAAACAACCCTGGAACGTGCACCTATAAAGAGTTGTGTCATGAGGTACCCTGGGTCAGTGGCGGATGGTCATGGGGGTCATGGCCCCCACAAACAATTCACTAGTTTTAGTTTTACTAGTGCAATGTTTGTCCATCATACTAATTTTGGTGTAGTGTAGACCCCTAGCCACTGGAATGTTGTCCACTGATCCTCTACTGCCCTGGATCAGTTATTTGGCTTTTCCGCTTCTAGGATGGATACCCTTGGTCTTCATTTCAGTAATCAATTCTTTTGCTTTGAAGAAATCACCATGATTTAATTAACCCTGAATCATGCACCTGTAAACAGTTGCGTTATGTGGTACTCCCATATCAATCATCTCATTGAATTTTTCCATAGCATCATCCATCATCCCCACTCTGCAATACCCGGCTATCACAGCTAAATATGTGACCTCATCAGGGTTCACTCCCTGCTTCAACATGTCTTTGAAGAAAAGTATAGCCACATCCATCATTCCACACTTAGCATATGCACTAATCAATATGCTGAAACAATGGAGATCGGGTGCAATACCGTCTCTTGCCATCAGCTCACAAAGATCAGTCATTTCAGCAAGGGATCCTTCTATAGCGTACCCATGAAGCATAATAGAGTATGAGACCATATTAGGTTTATGGCCCTTCTCAGCCATGGAATAAAAAAGTTCTGCAGCTTCTTTCGTTCTTCCATGCTTGCAAAGGTAGGCCATGACTGTGTTGCAAGTAAAAACATTTGGTCTGACACCTTGACCTCTCATTTCTTCCAATAACCTAACTACCTCTTCAAACTGGCCTGAAGTGGAATATCCATGGATCAGGCTATTGTATGTCACAACATCCGGTCGAACACCGCTATCAACCATTTGTCGAAGGACCACCTCTGCCTCATCCAATGCTCTTCCTTTGCACAACCCATCGATAATGGAGTTATAAGTCACCACATTAGGCACGACCCCCTGCTGCATCATTTCATGGAATAGAGCGCATGCTTTGCTTAGTTCACCCTCCTTAATTAATCCATCAATGATTATTGTGTATGAAACCACATTGGGGGAGTGGTCATATCCCTTTTTGGTCACCATCCGGAGCAGGTCAAGTGCAAGTTGGCTCCTCCTGTTGTCACAGAAGCTCTTGATAATTACTGAGTAGGAGATGACATCAGGCATGTCACCGGGCATCCTGTGGAGCAGCACGCCTAGGGCCTCATCTGTTTGCTTCATGTCACAGAGGCACTTCAATAAGCTGTTGAAGGTGACGACGTTTGCGGTGATGCCTGTCTTGAGAAGGAGGCCGAAGAAGGTAGGCCCTAGGTCTGAGCGGCGCAGGCTATGGCAGCACTCAATTAGTATGCTATAGGTGTGATTGGTGGGTGCCATCACCTGGCGGCATCCTGCTCGTGCCATGCGTTTGAAGAGAGCGATGGCGAGGGCAGGGCCATCAATGCAGGCGGCGGATGGCGGGGCACACGCGAGTGCGGCAAATAAGCCATTGAGTGCGCAGGCAGATACTGGGACGCGTTGTTCCAGCAAATTGTCGAACAATTGATGCGCAAGCTCCGGCCGTAGTGTCCCAGAGCCGAGATGATGGTGTAATTTGCTTAACAGCTGGTTGGCGCGTGAGGAGATGAAGCTGGAGGAAGAGCCGGGTCGAACGTGTGGCATTGCCGCGGATGTGGGAGCGTGTTGGTGACGACAAATCACTGGAGGTTAGACACTCGACCCAACTTGGAAGAGGTAATAGCACCAGGAGTCCCACAACTTGTCCTGGATGTGATGATTTGGTCCCAATCTTGCAAAAGGCAACTATTGAGTCACACAACTTGCATCCAAATGTGCAAATCTGGTCCCAGCCAACCGTAGCACGACAAGTAGCGCCTAGTCAGCACAGCGGGTCAGCCCAGCGCTTTTTGCATTTACCCCCTGGACTTAGTACTAATCAACCCACACTACAGCACCTTAGTTTAGCTGCCTGGGTATATTCCTGGGATATTCTACTCAGCCCACTCCACTCCACTCACTCATCTTTCTCTGCTCTCGACCATCTCCTGCTCCCCAGCTAGTCGCCGCCGTCCTGCTCGCCGCCTCCGTCCGTTTAGCTCGCCGCCATGGTGTCTTGGAGTGAAGGATCCAGCTCTTCGTCCGACGGGTACTCTGTCATAAGTGAGGTTAGCTCCAGCTCCAGTACAAACATACTCACTGGCATTTAGGGTTAGCAATGGGGAATTTTTGCTGACAACAATATTTTCTAGGCTCCTACTGCTGCCACCATTTTCTGCTCTGAATGGACAGGCCTTGCTCCAGATCTTGCAGTTAGATGTGAACATCAGTGTGTCTGTGAGAAGTTAGTTTCCTTTGAATTAGTTGACAGTGGAAGGAGGTATCTTGCTTGTGCACAAAAGGTTAGTAGAACTCAAGTTAAGGCCAGCAAATTTGTAATGTGTCATCTTACTGTCATGTGCATAATCTTGTAGTGTGGCATTTAACTGTGGATTAGTGCATCAATATAGTTTATTGAGGAAAATCAGTTCACTGAAGAAAACAATATTTAGTCAACTGAAGTTTTGGTTATGCTAAGAATTGAGATAGTGCTGTAATAATAGATCAATAGTGGTACAAGCTTTGCCATTTATCTAAAAATGTTTTCTTTCTTATTTTGTAGGAAATACCTAAATGCAACTTCATGGAGTGGATTGACCCTGAATGGCCTGCCACTCTGAAGATGAGTTTAGCCAGGGTTTGGGGCATGTATCAAGATGAGAACAAGCTAAGGCTCAGGGAAAATGTAGTTAATGCTGAAGAGAATTTTAGGGTTGTGAAAGAGAAGGAACATATGGAAAAGGATCTGAGGTTTTTAAACTAGATTTTGCTAAGATGGTAGCTGACAAGGAGCAGGCAATTACTGAATTGGGCAATGCAAGACTTGCTATTTCTGACCTGAAGCAAGAGCTTGAGAAGAAGAAGATGTCTGATAAATCTAGCACTACCATTCATCAGGTTGTGAGGGCTAAGGCAGAGAAAGAGAGGGATGAGATGAAGCAAAAGATGGACAGCATGAAGGTACAAATGGACAACATGAAGGATGAGTTGGACAAAGTTGTGTCACAGAGGGATGACCTGAAGAAGGAGAAGAAGAAACTTGAGTACATGATTGGTGATTTATTCAGGCACGAGGAGGAGAACAAGAGCAAGATAAGGAGGTTGAAGGAGATCTTAGATGAATTTGAGTAATTCATTGCTGGTGTAATGCTGCCTTAAGATGGACCTTTTAATTAGTTGTATTCCTGTAGTGAACTTGGTTAATTTCCATGGCACTGATTATGTATGACTACTCTAAGTTAACTTATTTCCTATATGTATGACTGCTCTGAATTTGTCTTAATTTAATGTTTAGTTAACTGAAGATTCAGTTATGTATGACTGCTCTGAATTTGTCTTAATTTGAAGTTTCAGTTAACTGAAGATTCAGTTAACTTGGTTGAATTGACAGTGTAACTGAAGATTCAGTTAACTGTATTTGTTTCAGTTAACATGTGTTAAACTGAAGATGTGTCAGTTAACATGTGTTAAACTGAAGATGTGTCAGTGCATTTGTTTTAGTTGATATTAAGTACTTTTAGTTAATTACATTTGCATACCTGAAGACAGTGTCAGTGCATTGAAGATTCAGTTAACTGTATTTGTTTCAGTTAACATGTGTTAAACTGAAGATGTGTCAGTTAACATGTGTTAAACTGAAGATGTGTCAGTGCATTTGTTTTAGTTGATATTAAGTACTTTTAGTTAATTACATTTGCATACCTGAAGACAGTGTCAGTGCATTGTTTATGTTACTGAAGATAACCTCTAAGATAACCTAATATAACCTAAGATAACCTAAGATAAACCTAAGATTCAGTGACACTAAAAAGAGTTAAACCTACAGCAAAATTATGTTAATATTCAGTTATCTGATATCCAGTTTCACTGAAGATTCAGTTAATATTCAGTTATCTGAATATCCAGTTCACTGAAGATTCAGTAAACCTAAGAGTTTCAGTTATGTTAAAAAGAGTTTAACCTAAGATTTAGTTAATATTCAGTTATCTGAATATCCAGTTCACTGAAGATTCAGTGAATTGCAAATTCAGTTAAGATTATGATATTGTTTCAGTTAACTAAAAAGAGTTAAACCTACAGCAGCAATGCAAACACAACAGCAGCAACAACATGCCATACACAGCAGCAGCAGCATGGCAAACACAGCAGCAGCAACATTGTAACCAAAATTAACAGAACAAAATAGCAAGCATAGCAGCATTGCAGCATAGCATCATCTGATCATCATAGCATAAGTTTCAGCAAACATTGCAGCAGATCAAGCATAACTTTGCACCAGTTCCCACAGCAGATTACAAATAACTTATGTGCTGAACTTGTAAGCAGCACACCTAACTTAACTAAACGCAAAATAGCACTAACTTATATGCTGAACTTATAAGAAGCATACCTAACTACTTGACCTTCTTCTTCGCTCCTTCTTCAGTCGTTCTTCACATCTTCAGTCGCTTGAGACGCTCGGAGTGGCGCACCTCCACTGCAGAAGATCTCTTGTTGCCGATCCTTGCCGGCTCCGCCGCCGCGTCCTTCTTGGGCACCTCCTCCACCAGCTCCTGCTTGACGATGTTAGGTACATCTGGGAGCACCTCCACATCAATCAGGAGGTCTCTGTCGCCCTCCCTGGCGTTGTGGACTGGCGCGACCATTTGGATCTCGTCCTCCTCCGCCTCTTCTTCGTCGTCTGACAGGACAACGAGCGACACCTCGACTGTGTCAGACGACACATACGAGTCAGAGGAGTCTGAATCTCCTCTATAGCCCGAGTCGTTGTCGGAGTTCACCTTGCAGTACTCCGAGTCGGACGACAGAGAGACGTCGTCGTCGTCGATGTGGACGAGGGGCGCCAGCGCAGGCAGGGCCAGAACCATGTCGTGGACGCGCTGCATCCTGGACCACACGCGCTTCGGATCCGGCTGCGGCTGCGGCGTGGTGGCGGACATGTACATCCACCAACGCGCACGCTGCCTCGGATCGTCGGAGCGCGTCTCCGCCATTGCGAAGCGGAGGATGTTGGCCGGAGGGGTACCTGGGCGTCCACGAGAGCGCGCCTCTTCTCGTCGTCGGTCATCGCGTCGATGAGGCCCCGCGCGTGGTTCATAAGCATGTCGACGCCGGGGAACCACCGGCCTATCTCCTGGAGCTCCACGCCCGCGACCTCGTCGTCGCCTGCCATCTCGTCGACCATCCTCTGCCATGCAGGGTGGTTGTCCATGGCGTCGGCGGCGGCATCGAGATGGCCGGCGAGGGTTTTCTTGGGGTGGAGTGGGAGGTGGGGAGCGTAGAGCCCGAGGCGTCGTGAAACGGAAGTGGTGAGTGGGGGCGGTGGGTGGTGGGTGGTGGCCTCTTAATAGGAGTGGAAGAGCGAACGACACCGCTCTGATTAGCACGTACAGTTTATCTTGGTATAACAACAGTGGCAATGAGTATCTACCAAGATCACTAGTACTAGCGCATTGGCAAGGAGTTCAAGTTATCAAACAAAAGGTCTTGGGTTTGATACCCAGGACAAACAATTTTTTTGTAAAATTATTTTTAATTAACTACAGTAGTATTCACTTCAAAACAGATCAGTATTCAGTTAACAATAGTAGTATTCACTGCAAAACTTTTTTTAAATCTTTTTTTTCAGTTCAAAGCAGCAAAATTCAGTTGACACTGTAAAATTCAGTTCAAAGCAGCAAAAATTAAGTTGACACAACAAATTTCAAAAAAGCCTTTTTTCAGTCCAACATTCATTTGCCATCCATCATTGACTTATCCCCTAGTTTTGCATCATAGTTTAGTTACAAAAAAGGCAATTAATGCCAATATTTGCCATCAAAAAGTGGCAAATTAAGCAAATGTTTTGCCATCAAAAAGTGGCAACTTAAGCCACTGTTAGGCCAGTCATTGTGTTACATCACATTAGGCCTCTTCAAAAAGATGGAACTGTAATGTCCCACCATCTCAGGGATCAGGAGCCACACATTCTTCAGGAGGATCATTCAGGTCTGGAATCTCCACTCTCCTCTCCTGTCCAAACAGTAGCCAGTATGCCCTATCACCTGGCATACGTCCTCTCCCCCTATCGTTCCTCCTCTTCCTCTCCAAGCATGTGCATTTCCTGTCCCTCTTCCTGCAACATGAGTTGCTCCTCTCCCTCCACCAGCAGCTACATTTGACCCCCTTCCTCCACCTGCAGTTGCATTTCCCCCTCTTCCTCTGCCTGAAGCTATTGCTGCCCCTCTTCCTCTGCCTGAAGCTGTTGTTGCTCCTCTTCCTCTGCCTGAAGCTGCCCCTCTTCCTCTGCCTGAAGCTGTTGTTGCTCCTCTTCCTCTGCCTGCATCTGGATTCCTTTGTCTTTTCCTCCCCCTTCCCCTACCAGAAGCTTGAGAGCCTTGTCCTCTCTCAAGTACTGTCCTTGCCCTTGTTTGCCTACCTGCATTCATTTCTGTAGTGACTCTTGGCTGAGGTATTGCAGCACCTGCAGCAAGAACAAATAAAGACTGCTCTGGTAGTGGGTCATGAAATCTATTTGGAGCTCTTCTTAAAAGTTCTCTTTGACTCATGCTGTAGACCATACTGGT